CAAAAAAAAGAAAACAATCGAATTAAAGAGGGGGAGGTGGAAGAATGCACTTCTAACGACAATTAGGCAACACAGAAAACACTGACCCGTGGAGACGTTCCTCTGGTGGAAGACCTCCTCTCGTGGCCGTCCAGGGAAGAGGAAGGCAGGTTGCCCGACACCGCCACCATGGATTTGGCAGCGCTGACCACCTCACCGATGACAGCATAGGGGTCGGCAAACGCTGGGTCAAGGTCGTTGTCACTGGCATCCGAGGGGATAGGAGGAGGTTGGTGGTTGGACAGTCTAGCCTTCTGTCCGTCAGTGCTGTGGGCGTGACCCGACTGCGGGGTGGCCACGGGGTGCACAAATATGTTGTTGCCTTGAAGAGAGGCCACCGTCTCCTCCACTTTGTGTTTCACTTCCTCCAGAGACTCGTAGTCCGGGTCTATCACAGCACACACCTGCTCATCCTGGTCCTCGACGTACGTGTCCCTTCCGTTGCTAATCCCCCCCTGTGCACCAACAGGCCCTGATGAGTTTCTCTGCTCAATCTCACTTTTTCTCTGGTTCACGTCATCCAGAGTCTCATAATCTGGTTCCAACCGGCTTTTCATGCGAGCTCTGACGTGGGAATTAAACTCCTCCGCGTATACATGGGGGCGCATATTTACTTCTTGTTCTTGTGGTGATACCGCCTTCTTTTTCTTGGAAGAATTTATCTTAGCATAGGGATAATCCTCCTTAATTGTGGCTTTCTTGTTTTTATCTGAGTTGGAGCTTGTCGGGAATTGACCTAGAGACATTTTACTGCGGTCAACAGAGCCAGGTCGTGGTGAGCACCCATCACGAATCTGGTCTTCGACTTTCCCATTAGACACAGCCTTCATGCTAGCAACACGCCGGCGATTTTCTTCTTTGATCGAGCTGATCGTAGCATACGGATCCTCCTCACCTCCGGTCAGAACTTCCGAGGAATCTTCATCCGAATTGTCCACGTTGGAGAAGATGACCTCTGGCACACCGTTCTCCGGCTTGCAGATTACACTGACTCGTTTATCCTTCCGAATGAGGATCACTTCTTCCTTCTCCGACCGCACCCTCCTCGGCGTCTTCACAGACTGCGCCTTATTAACATGCTTACTCCGCCCTCTGAGAATCTCCTCCTCCTTCTCCTCCTCGGTCACAAACGGTTCGTCACTCTTACGCCTTAGTTTCCGCGGTTTGGTGGGGGAGCTAGCCTCATACGTTTTTAAGTCGTACTTGCCTTTACTCCCCATGCGAAATCTGCGGCGTAGCCTAGAGAACAAGCCCTCGCTCGGCGACTGGTGTAAGGCCATCGCCCCGGGGTCTGTGCCGGACGGAAGAGTCGCCGACCGAGCCTCTGGAGTCGGGGACAGTTTAGGGTCGGGCCGAGACGCCGTGGACATGCTGGCGCTGCTGAGCGGGGCCGCCTTTTTGCTGGCTTTTCTTTTAAACTTAGAGGCTAAACCACCACCTCCTTCTTTCTTCTCTGCCATTTCATCTGACCCAACGGGAAAGTATTCCCTTTCATCAGCCTATCTGAAAAATATAGGAAAAAAAGAATACATTAAACACATAACATTAATAATTTTACCACTTACCTCATAAGTTGGATAATTACACATATATACGGCAGATCAACATGCATGTATTGTATAATGCAATGCCTATGTTGAGAAATTCACACTGGATGCTGGTGTCTCACAGCCGAAAATGTGATGGTTTCGCGACAAATTTTACCGATCCTTGCACTTTTCACAGGTTAAGCATAAAACAGATGCATGTTTAGTATACATTTGTAAAAACTTAGCCTAATCTATTTGCAAATAACATGTCGCTTTCGATACCAAGAGTTAAATGCTTCTTACTTCAGACTGATATATTAGTATTAGCGAAGATACTATTTGTGTATCAGGTGGACAGACCTCACAAAGATGGACACCGTTTCTGACAACATCTGTATCACACAGTAACTCTCCTTCAGCGCAGAGCGCAAGATTCCCCCCCACCCCCACCCCACCCCTAATGATTATGTATGGCTCCCCCTTTAACCTGTCAGGACCAGCCCGCGCCACACGGGGGCACGGTATCCCGACCACTGATACTGATAGTCGGAGACGCAAAATAAAATTAATTTTCCAAGACTCAGACACACGCCTTCCGCGTGCAAGTCAAAGAGAGTAATCGTCTCATCATAGGCATGGGTGCTGGATATATCCATGAAAGTAGTCGTGCCATACGGACGGTCTCAGAAAAAACAAATCAGTACCTTTTGCAAAGATTTTCATGGCATACAGCCAGAACAAGAAAAGAGGAAAAAAATAAGTATCGTTAGCAAATATTTAAACACGAGTTCGGGATTTAGAGCGCATGTAAGTGTAACAACATCAATTTTTTTTTTTTAAAGTGAAGTTCCTACGTGTACGTAAAGGCATTCGTAACCTAGAATGGTGAAACAACGCGAGAATGGTATTTCATGAATAGCCGTGTTAATCCATGCGTATATAGGAAAGTTTGGTATCTTAGAACAACGCAAAATGAAACTATTAATTCCAGCGGAACAAAACCCATGACATGTACGTGGACGAAACAGACTTTCCCGAAAACAGGGCACAAAAAGACAACATCGCATTAAAATACAAGAGGCCTCATCAAATGATGAAAATAAAAAAACAAAAACGAGTTAACATCACTAACTTTTTTATAAAATCATCAACACTAACTGGATCGCTGACATTGCTGACTCTGTGTCAGTTTGGTTGTTTGTTTTTTTTCCCAAAAACTTTCTCGGCTGTTAAGGAACTCGTAAAACCACAACTACTGAACACTGTAAGTGATGTCTCCCTCACTCCAAGAGTAGAACTACCTGGCGTTCGAGCGCTAAACCTCACACTACACGACGTCGTCCGGCACTGGGAGAAGGAAAAGGTGCAATGTGGGAAAAGTGTGTGTCTGTG